TTATTGCAAGTAAAAGTCAACTAGTCTCAAATCTGACCATTAGTGCAAATGTATCAAAAAAATCAATTTATGGTTGTTGAGGATAACCTTTCACAACCTAGCCTTATGCTTGTTGATTGAACCATTGATAACTCTCCAATATAGAGTTATTTGGGCTTAATTTTGATAATAATTTGGCTTAGTTCTTATAATAATGCATAGAAATTAGTAGGTTTTATTTAATTATTTTAAATTAGGTAAGTCAATCTAATCTTAGTTAATTTTATGATTAATTTAGTGTTAATGTGGTTAAGATAGGTTATTATTAATTTATTTGTACTTTTGTAGGTATTTGATAAAAGAAGAATTTTAGTGAAAGAATGAGAGCAATTTCAAGGTGCGAACTTGCACTGCACATATTTTGATATTTTAGCCATAACACTGTCTACAGAGCTCTAAATGATACGATTCTTAGACTATTGGAAAGATAAAAGAAAAATCTACAATTTTCATGTATACTTCACCTAGTTCAGCCCAGAAGATGGTTAAAACTCTTGTCGAAGTTGACGTACTGCAACAATCCTAGAGCAATTACAATTTCTATTTATTAATTGGGCAAAGCTGCGACTCACATAATCTAGTGAGAAAATTCTAGCTGAAATTGACTTTTTTCTCCACCCTACTTAGCCAACTTTAAAGCCTATAAAAATAACCTTTCGGAGGACTTAAGGGGAGAAGGAAGATTGAAAGCTAAGAGTCAAGTCTCAAAGTCATTGACGCTGAGAAGATTTTGAAGGATTGAAGAAGACTTGGATGATCAAGATTATAATTCTTAAGTTTTATCTTTTTGATTATTCTTTTATTTTCTTAGTTTGCTTTTATTGTTTAAACTTTATTCAATGATGATGTGTGACTTGATGAGGAACTAAATTGCTAATCTAAGATCATGATTGAACCCAATATGTCATCTACATTATTTACCTCTCTTTTACTTATGTTTGATAGATTTAAGTTGTTTATTTCATTCTGTTCTTAATGCCTCTAATTGCTGGATCACCAATTAGACTGAATTGAAAGCCTAGGTTAAACCTTGACGAAGGAGATTTAGGTTGACCTTGAATAGAATAGCGTATGATTGAATGCACTTATTTGATTACGTGATTTGATTTGCATATAGGGTAGACAGATACTTATAAGCAATACGTAGCCAGGATTAGAGCACAAACTTAATGAATCTTTCTTTAATTTAATTTGTATAGACATATAGTAAATTAATTGGAAGAGGCATTTTTATGAGAAACTTGATAAAGACTTGCAAATAATTTAAGACTCTTGGTTAGCAATTTATTCCATAAAACTGAGTTAAAAGAGAGAAACAATATTTAGATGAAGTATTAAGGGACATCATAATCTTAGGTCTTATAGTTGATTGAATTTCAGTTTAGTAGTTTTAATTTTTCTTTTTAATAATTTTAAAATTTAGTTCTTTGAATAAAATTAGGATGTGTTAATTTTAGTGGTTAATAGTAAGAATTAAAACAATTCTCCATGGGAATGATACTTTATTCATTACTATATTACTTGTTAACAATATGTGCACTTGCATGAGAAATGAACAACAACCATCAATGTTAAACTTGGTTTTAAAATACATTTGGTGCCCATGACATTCATAGAATCAAATCCATTAACCAAAGACCAAGTTTTGCTCTTGTTGATCACACTTAGCTCCTCTTTCACTACAACCTGCCACTGAGCTAATTCTTTGGCCTCGAAATAGCTTGTAGGATCTATAATGGCCATTTTTCATCTCTCATAAATGCTTTCTAGAGTTTTAATGCCTCTAATAGCAAATTTTTCATCATTACGATCTTCATTAGGCTCATGAGCAACCTCTGACAGTGACATTGTGCTAAGCAACTTGTCATCTAATGTGTCCACAGATTCTAAATCCCAATTCCACCTTGCATTTTCATCAAATTTGATGTCTTCTGCAACTTAAACCTTTTTTGGATCTCATATTGAACACCTTATATGCCTTGGCTTATAGACTGTGCCCTAAATACAGACCCATTCCTACTCTTGGTTCTATCTTTAACCTATTTGCCTTAAATACATGAATGTAGCAAATGCTATCAAAGATTTTAAGATTTTGACTGCTAGTTTGACATGGTGCCAAGCTTCATAAGCTATTATTTTGTTTAATGCCCTAGTTGGAAGTATGTTTTGCAAATAAACTTTAATATTGGCAACTTCTACCTAGAAATGTTTAGGCCTTGATTTCTTAATAAACATCTAGCCACTTTTAACATGATCTTATTCTTTCTTTCACATATACCATTTTGCTGAGAAGTGTAAGAAATGGTGAATTGATGTTGACTGCCTATACTAGCTAAAAATCATCAAACTCAACAAATGAGTACTTACCACCATTGTCTGTTCTAAGAATCTTAATTTTGCACCTTGATTCAAGTTCACCATAAGCTTTGAACTTCTTAAACACTAAAAACACATCAAATTTAAGCTTGATAAAATAAATTGAAGTCAACCTTGTATAGTCATCAACGAACAACACAAAATACTTACCGCCATTGAGTGATCCAACACTCATTGGGCCATAAACATGATAATGCACAAGTTCAAGCCTTTTAATTGTTCTTTCAATGCTTATCAAAGGAAATGGAAGCCTTGTCTACTTTCCTAGTTGACACACTTCATAAATATCAGATTGAGTATGCAGTAGGAGTATTTTTGTCACTAAATTTTCAAAATTCAAGAACTTCATTATAGAGTAATTGCAATGCCTTAATCTCCTACGCCTTAGCTTAGAAACATTATAATTTACTTTCTCAATTGTATTCAAGCGAACATGATGCTAATCTAAAGGAAAACATTTATTCTTCATCTTAGTTATCATCAATACATTGCCATTAAGCTCAATTATGGTGCATGATTTATCTTTAAATAGAAAAAGGTAGTCATTGCCAATCATTTAACCAACACTGAGTTGGTTCTAACATGCTTTAGGCACTAAAAAGACATTTAGGACATACCCCATTTGAAGTTGGAATAGCAACAGTGCCTTTGCCTATAGTACTTTCCATTCCCAATTTCAAAATGTGCACACCTATTCTTGTCAACAAAGGTGAATAAAGATGCATTAATATTTATGTGGTCGGAGCAAGCACTATCAATTAAACAAGTTTGACTTGACTTTCCCAAATTTCCCTTAGATGCCATGAATAACAATTCCACAGTCGTGTCAATCTCCTCAGCTACTTTAACTTGCTAATCTTGTTAAGATGCTATGTTTTTGAACACTTTTTCTACATGTGCAAGCTGATTGAACTTTCTACACTTTACATTTGGACTAAACTAGCAATACCTTTCAGCAGGGTTTGTCTTTTTACAATAAGAAAAAATTGCATTTTTTATTTTCTTGCCTTATTGTTTCTAATTTAAAGTTGCACTTTTTATTTTCTCTTTTTTTTTCACTTGGTGACCTTCTATTATTGTTGTGAAGGACATTTTTGCCTTTGAATCTTACTTGCAAAGCCTAAGTATGCTCCTCAAGCCTGATTTGTCTCATTGCTTCAGAAGCTTAAAAAGCATTAACCAGCTCTTGCATAATTATCAAGGTAAGGTCTTTTGATTCCTCAAAAGCTGCAATCTTGAACTCAAATCTCTCAAGAGTACTCATCAGCAGCTTTTTGACAATTCTAGCATTTGAAAGCTCGGCTCCCAAAAGCTTAACTTGATTGACTATTTTCATCATCTTATCTGCATAACCTTTTACAATCTCATTCTTCTTCATCTTGAGCACTTCAAATTGTCTCATTAGCTTTAGAACCTGCATTTTCTTGGTTTTGCCATAACCTTGAAACTCCTTAGTAGTTTCATAAGTCACAATCCTTGCAAATATGGTTTCTATTACAACAAAGTGAATATGGGACAATGCCTTGTACTTTTTGGCTACTTCCTCACTGTGCTACCTCATTTGTGCTATGGTGGGATTTGTTTTAAGCCTCAAGGGATTCTCCTCCATGTTCAACAACTTCCCAGAGGTTAAATGCTTTGAGGAAGGCCTTCATGTTGATAGTCCATACCGCATAACCTTCACCATTGAAGATTGGTGCATAAAGACTTGATGTATTGCCACTTGATGCCATATTTTTTTATGAAAGAAAGGTTGTTAGTGTGCTATGAAAGATTTAAAGCTTGTTAATAGGCCTCTAAGATCATCCAAGCTCTGATATAATGTTGTAACTTGTTATGCAGGGTATGTGTTTGAAGAAAGGCTTAGCTTAGAGAACCAAGAAAACGAAGAAGAGAAAAAGCAACATGTTTGTTTCATTGATCATTGATATATATATATATATATATATATATATATGATGTATATTATTTGTTCATACTTGCACACAACCATATGAAGTATATTACAGGGAAATATTTCTTAGTTGTGAACACACATTTTGTAAAGTGAGGTACACGATCAAGATTCCAGCAACAGAAGACGACGTGGCACTCTACCCGCCATGGAAGCTTTGAAACCTAAAACCCCTGTTCCCCACGTTGAAGAGGATAGTGAGAAACCTCATTTTGTTTGCAACAATAAAACAAACGAAAAGAAGGCGCAGGGTGATGTGGAGCGTGTTCTGCCTTCCATGGGACATGCTAATTTCCCTTTGTTGGAAAATTAAGAGCCCCGGTTCCTGAACTTCCTAGTTGATGGAGAATTTGAGCTTTAGCACCTATCCAAAATAATAATAATAATTTTTAACTTTAGTCATGTCATAACTCATAACAACCTTTTAAGGACCATTTTGCAGAGGAATAGCAGTGAAATTTATCTCACTTGGGCCTGGAATGTAACTTCACATATTAGTTGCACTCCTTTCACTTAATAAGTGCAAGAAATGGCTTTGAATTAGATAAAATTTTGCTCTCTTAAACTCCAAACAAAAATCTTATCTGAAAACTTCACTCATTAAATGATGTATAATTTAAAAAAAAAATCAAATTTTTCTTCCGCTAATTATATCAAAAACCATTTTACGACTTTAGCTTCATTATTACAGTCATCTAGGGGAAAACTTTGATGAGGTTGACCTTACATTGAAGCGACTACGGAAATCAATGAATATTCTAAATTTCTGGTATTTGCAGTAGGCTCAACTTAGTAATTCATCAACTACCACTTGCTGCAATAAATAGCAAATTATCACCATCGCAGGTAACGGGCATCCTCCTAAGTAATATTAATTTCTTGTTGCCATGGTTGGACACGAGCATTAAAATGAGGACCAACAAGTTGTGTTTCTAATTGCAATTGCTCGAAGGAATGTTGGCTGATGAACAAGCAGCAGGAATATTGATCTGAAAAAAGAACAAAGGCAAATAAACAGCCAAAGTGAACAGCAAAACCATTGGTCATTAATTCCAAGGAGCTCTTCATTGTTTCCTTCTGGAGTTTCCTTTAATTGATTCCCTTCCTATTGGACAACAGTGCCCGCAAATACTCGCTATTAGAAAGAACAGGTCAGCATGAACTTCCAAACTCATGGCTGATGTTCATTTTCCCAATGGTTACTTCAATCACCACAACCAAAACATGTAATGAAATGAAATAAAGCAGAGGGCATATACTCAATGTCAAGGTTGGCCAACATTAGGTTTGGGTGATCGGTGAAGATGGTTATTATGATATGGAGAGACATGCGGACCATTCGGAGTGGAAAGGCTCCTGGTAGGTTGCCCGTTCCTTATCGACAATCCTGCCTGCACTCTACCGCCACTTCTAGACTTTGAACTGGACCCCACGCGCTCTATTTGTATGGCCTGGAAGTGAGAAGAAGTACAAGCCATATCCTTGAGATTAGGCAGAGGTTTTAGGGCTCCAACAACTTCACTCATCAGAGGTCTGGCTTTTGGATCCCGGCTAAGGCAATGGGCAGCCAATTGGATTGCTTTCTGAGCACCTTTTATTGAGAAGCGTCCTTCAAGGAGGGGATCTATAAGTCGGTAAAATCTTCGTCTCTCGCCAAGATAGGGTCGAGCCCATTCCACCAGGTTATGCTCCCCATTTGGTCGGGTTTTGTCCATAGATCTTCGGCCTGTCAACATTTCAAGTAGAACCACCCCAAAGCTATATACATCACTCTTTGATGTAAGATGCCCTGGAAAAATATGAATTCTCATTAGGTGTAAATTTTCTTATTTCTATGCCCTTTTCTTTCTTTCTGCGATTTTTGAAGAGGAGAAAGGGCGTCATTTACATATTCTATTTATAAAGAACCATGACTTTATAACATGTTTCGCATTTAAGAGTACAATAAATCCACAGAAAAATGTCTATATACATTTAAGATCTGCAAACAGGTAGGAAATTATTTAGAGATGGACTCTATTTCTAGCATTCAAAGAGAAAAATAAACGATTTAACATTTTAACATAGCCTAGAAACATATGCAAATAAGCATACAAAATCAATTTGAACAGAAAGAGAAAGATTAACTAGGTTCAGTAGAGTTGAATTACTCTTCACCTATGTTACTTGGACTCAGGAATCACTGTTGGATACGGGTATGTACCTGACACAGGTACGTTCAAATTTTTCTAGGTTTTTCCATATGTTTGGAGGGTCAAACCTTCATGCCCATGTCCATCGGATAGGTGTCCAACAATGATACTTCAATGAAAATGAAGAGTCAGAGCAATATAGCTAATAACCACTTGCTTGATGAATAAACCTCCAAAAGTATTTCCGCTTTTAAAGAGATTATTTTAACAAAAGCATGTATCACCAACTTCTACATGGATCAAGGAAAGAAATTGCATGGAAACATAATTTATGCATACATAAATGCAATATTGTTAATGATACCTTAACAGCTAGCTTTCCCTTAGTTGTATATCATTTTAAATTAGAATGAGTCTACAATGAATTTCTTTTAGGTAGTTTCTTTTTTCAAACTTTGATAATTTTACCTCTTTTATTCTGTAAATTGGTGACATCAAACCTTTAAAATTTGGCAGAATTTGACAAATAAGACAGTAGCAACAAAAGTGGAATATTTGGAAGATGACAGTCACACTATCAATGGGAAAGCTAAGAACATGGCAAATAATTGAAGCTGATGATACCAGCAAAGAGGCGATTATATTCAGAAGGTAATGAGACCAGCACATCAATGGCATCATAGTTGACAACAATGATATAGTGGCAGTGGTTTCTTAATGGCTAAGGAGATAATGGCAGAAGCATGGAGGTAATAGTTGTCATAGCAGCAGCATCAAGAAGGTCGAAGGCAGAGCATGCAAGATTTGCTACCATGTGCACCAATCCCTCCAATTTAAGATATATACTAAAGAGGAACATGTGATTAGGTGGATTAAAAAGAAGTAATAGGTGCCAAAAGGAATTGGCAAATCCATTTTTGGGGAAAAAGCAGTTCCATTGTATTTACCTGTCATAACATACTCAGGGGCTGCATAACCATAGGTTCCCATCACACGAGTAGATACATGAGTCTTGTCTCCCACTGGACCATCTTTGGCAAGTCCAAAGTCAGAAAGTTTGGCATTGTAATCCTGAAGAAGATGTTGGAATATTTCAGAAAATGAATGATACATTTTAAATAACAGCAAATTATTTTTACTGTACTAGTCACGCACCGCATCCAACAGTATATTAGATGTTTTAAAGTCCCGATATATTACAGGTCGTTCAGCCTCCTCATGAAGAAAAGCAAGACCCTTCGCCGCACCAAGTGCAATTTTCATTCTGGTGGACCAAGGAAGAGGCAGGGACCCTGATAAAATGAATGAATAAATGAATAAATAAAAAGACAACGGTTACCTTGAGCATGCAGTTGAATAATCTCCTAACGAACCATCATTAAGTCACCAGACAGCTTGCGTTTCAAACCAAAACATTATGGAAGGTTAAAATAAATGCTTTTATATAGTCCCATGTAATTGTTGGCTGAAACTGTTTTTCCTTCCTAGTGTTTGTAAATGAGATCAAAACTTCTTCAACACACTTACTATACCCGATTTCATTGCAAGCAAAACCAAATTCATAGCAGAAGAAATGGGATCAGCTAAGGAAACAGTACTGTGCTCAGTCAATTTGTGGGCAAAAATCTAAAGATATGAAAAAATATCAGTACCAATCCTTATCCCAACTTTATAGGTAGCTTGACATCAACCCAGTTTAAGAAAGTATGATAACCATCAACTGAATATTTTATCCTTTAGCAAAGCTATGAAGCTGAATCCACATCCAATGGTAATGGCAAATTCCAGTAGAAAAATATAGAAATATCTTCAAGGATACATTTTGAACCCACTGCCTGTTACAATTAAGCTTGCCTCTTTTGGGTGCTCAGGTCTTTCCTAAGGAAGCTGAGGATTGGACTATAAGGTTGGCTATCAGCTCACTTTAGGCAAAACTTTACCAACTACAGACGGACGGGCAAGGCAAGTAAAGAAGTCTCTTTTTTTTAATGTTAAGTGTAAATAAGTCTATTAACAATGAGTATAAATACAAACTTCGAAAGAGGTGATTCTCCAAGCTTCCTCGAGGCATAAACTCATAAACAAGTAGCCTTTGATCATCCTCAATGCAATAACCAATCAACTTGACCAAATTAGAATGGAGGAGATCACCAAGATAATTAACTTCAGCCTGGCACATACAAAAGAGACCACAGCATAATTTAACCACTTGATTGATATTCTAGCAGAAATAGACACAATATAAATGACTATATGTGATTTTGTGAATTAATAAATACTAAAATACAGTAAGGAATCTCTTACAAGCCATTCTCTATGACCCTGAAGTCCGTCGTGGTTAAGGGTTTTGACCGCAACAGACAAACCTGTGCCTGGTTTTACTGGAGCAGTACCATTCTCATTGACCCAACCTTTGAATACACAACCAAAACCACCTTCACCAAGAAGACTCTCAGGTCTAAAGCTCCTTGTTGCTAACTTAAGCTCATTAAAGGAGAATTTTCGAAGCTGAGAAGCAACTTTAAGCTCCTCACTTACGTTCGGAGTGGATGACATACTTTCAGCATTGGTAGTAGTTGAAGATGACACAACTGGAACAACAGCTTGACCTGTGCTGGTGTCATTTGACTCATTTGTGGTGTCATTTGACTTTGTTGATTTACTTTCAGCTGGTTAACACACAAAAAACAGTTAGTACTGTTATAATGCATCAAACTAATTGGGATCAATGAAGGTATGTAAGAAAGTGTCTGCAGTTTCTAGATTTGGAACAGCATTTAAGAAGATGCATCCCTCTGAAAGATAGAAAACAAATTCTATGTACAATATAAATAAGAAGGTATCACTCTATTTATGTAAACATTGATAGAAAGCGAACACCCAGCCCTTTGAGCACCAATAACCCTGCATAATTCTAAGGAGGCTATAAGAATATAAAAAGTTATGACTTGGCTCTTAAGAGAAGGAAACAAGAAGAAAAAACTAAGGATATAAATCATAATTTGTGACTTGGTTTCATTATTCTTCCTTTTAGTCATAAAAAATCACAGATTTTTTAGTCACATGAGTTTCAGTAGTAAAAAACAGATGCTGACAGAAAGGATTGAAGTCAAACATATTTAAAACATAAACTACGTTACAAGGTTGCTAGCATGTTAACCAAACCTAGTATTAAAGCTTTGTAAGTTGACTGATATGTTCAAGGTTATTTTTTATTCATTAGTTTTGCTCGCCTCAACATTATTCTGAGGTACAAAACAAATCTGGACAAATATTCCCCACTTCGAAATAGTCTCTGAAATAGTAACAATAGAAGAACTGCTGGAGGTCATAAAGGATATGAGTTCGCAGACACCACACAAATTTTCATGCACAAACAACATGATTATTCCCAATTTTTATAATATATCTTATTGTATGTAAAACCATATTAAACTTTTTGCATTTTTTGCCAATGCCACCATAAAACGATAAGACTGATCAAAATAGGAAAGAAACAGAGAACCCTTGTGTCTTATCCCATTATTACACCTCCAAAAGGAGGGGACGAACAATTTGACAATAGGATGACCACGTGGCTGAATTCCCGAGGTTATGCATTAGACGACAAATGATAAACTGCAAAGTGATGATCTCAGTGAATATAAAGTATAAGGGACTTAATTACCATCCACCAAATATGCACAAATGGATAACAATCATCGCATGGTAGTACAGCGAGAGAATTGGATAGATATCAATATCCAATCAGGGTATAATATGTTTGCTAAAGCATAAAACTGAATCAATCAGCAGTATCCGCTTCATGATTACATCCATGTAGCAGAAATTGCACACAGGTAACGTACAGACAAAGAATTAGAAAGCCAAACGATGAAGAGAATTAACTGATCAGATAAAATGGGCAAAGAAACTTAAGTAGGTTAAAATGCCAATAGCCGATAAGCAAAATATGACATCCTTGCCAAAGCAGAGAATGAAGTTAATCACATTATAGATTTCATTTCAGCATCCTGATAGCAAAGCAGAACATGTTTACACCAATAGGTTCATTACACAGAAAAATAATCAATCAATATCTAACTAGAAATCTAATCAAATGACATGAACAAAAGAAACTAAAAGGGCAGTAAAATAAAACCAAGTAAGAAATATATTAAATTTATATACCAGATTGAGTGCTAGTGCCACTTATGGAACCCTCCACTTTGGCCCTTGGAGACAAGCAGCTTCCCATAAACCTAAATTTAATCCAACATCCAGGCTCCTCATCTTCACTACTTTTCTTCTTTTTCCCTTTGGATTTTCCAGCACTCCAAGGCCCCACCTGGATATCACCTGGACCTAATCCCATTATGCAAGTACCCTTCACACTAAATTCCCATGTCTCCAGAAACGCTTCATTTCACCATAAAACACACAAAAACATCAATTTTTTTTGTTCCTTTTCAAACAACATTGATAATCAAAACCTACCAAACAAAGAGAAAAATCCTAGAATTCCCATGAAAACAGATACCTTCTATTACAACTTAAAAGCCTTGAACATTAAATGACATAAAAGGGGACTGGAAAACGGGTACAAAAACCAATGCCACTCAAAGAAAAGGACATGCAACGCAAGAAATCCGCTGAAACGAGTAATCCATAGCTAAGATGAAGAAGAATGTGAAAATTCAAAGCAAGGAGAAGACCCCAGAGACCAAATCCCAGAATGTGAACAGTAAAGGGCCCAAAAACTAAAAAAGTCCCCAGAATCTTCAGTTTAACCTTGAACTTACTCTAAACACCAACGTTCAACTCAAATTTACTTCACAGAGTTACAAACAAAGACATTAAGACACAAAAACAAGAGGGAGAGACTACAGAGTTTAAATATGATTCAAAGAAGGTAAAGTAATGCGGCATTTGAGAAACGAAAACCTTTGAAAGCTGAATGAAAGAGAAGGAGAGGAAAGAGAAAGTGAGGGAAAAGAGAAAACGTGCGGTATTTTCGCGTGAAAAGGAGTGAGAGTTGGGAGTGTTTGTGTTTGTGTTTTTTAAGAGAGGAGTTTTAAAAGAAAACAACAGTTTGGCTGGTTTTGGCTTATCGTGTTCCAAGCCTACAGGCTACTACAGCCTTTGTCTTCTACTTGCAAACATTTAAAACAGAAATAAATGAGTATAAATTATTTGTTTGTTTGTATTCTTAAATTGTATATAATAATAACAGAGGATTGCCTTTCAAAGCCCAAAAAGAATCAAAGGAGGCCCAAAGCAGACTGTTTCAACCCCTTCTTTTCCCTCCCTTCTAATGGGAATGTTTCAAACTTTGTTTGCAATCCAATAAAAGTGGGTGTTTCTTTGTGGTTATCGGCTAAAAAGAAGAGAATTATAAACGTTGTGTCAACTACATAGTCAAGATCAATCCCAGTTGTTAGGTGTTTTAGCCTCAAAAAAGAAGCATGAGAAGAGCATCAAGATCTATCTCTGTTGAGATATTATGGTTTTTAAAAAGAATAAAATTCACGATATCATTATCCTTCCATGCTTGCAAACTCTCTATTTTATCATAGATTTACCCATGTTTCTTTTAAGTTAAATTAATAAGATAGCATAATAAATTTGAACAAGTCAACATTCCCATCTAAAACTTCAATCCTCTTAATAAATATAATCACTTAAACCACGAATCCAAATTCTAAGCTCTATTTCTTACCCCACTTTGTGCCTTAATTCTCATAAAGTGTCATGTGTCTATTTTCTTATTACTAATCAATACATATTTGGTTTTAATTTTTTTTTCATATTTCTATATTTCCTCTTTCGCTCTCACAAAAGGATTACTAGTTTAATTTTCTTTTCCTTTCTTTCTCTCTCATCTTTTCTTTTTCTCTCTCATATTTCCTCTTCCTCTTTCTGTTTGGGTTTCTTTGATACTGAACTTGGTTTAATGGGTATGGCATTTCACCTAAACTTTGCAAACAATGGTTGCTTCTTTTTGTCATTCAGTTGTGATAAGATGCAACAACGAGGGTGTTTAGCTAGATGTTTATAAAACACAGACGTGAATTCTGATCTCTCAAAGATTTTTACTGATAATGGAGTCCAGCCATGTCAGTGCCATGGTGTTATTGTAGAATTCACTGTCAATGGTAACGCACCAAAAGGTACACGTTCAAACACTGATGTTAGTTTGTTTCTAAAACCACTCACCATGTGGTTCTAATGGAATTACAGTAATGATTTGTTTTTACAAGGTAAGAAGAGAAAATCCACTAGAGGTGAGAAGGATACTGATCTTCAAACAAACCCAAACTAAAAGATGAGACAGAAAAAAGGAAAAAATTTAAACAAGTAATGCTTTTGTGAGAGAGAAAAAAGGAGAAAAAAATTAAAATTAAATATGTAATAATTAGCACTTGAGCATTTGATATATTGATTGGTACATTATCCTCGTGTTTAAAGAGTAGGGTTCGAATCTCCTCCCCAATTATAAAAAAAATATATGAATTAATAATAAAAAATAAACATATGATATTTTATGAAAGTTGGGACTTAAAAGTGAGATAGGGAACGGAAGCATCGGATTTGGATCCTCCCTTAAATTACCACATTTTAGGAGTTGTCCATTTACTTTATACTAGTTTTTAGATAATTACTTATATTAATTAATAATTGTGAAAAATTAAAGTTTATTCAATTTCATGTTATATACAATATAGGATTTATATTTGATGCACTAACAGTGTATCAGCTCGTCAAAATGTGCCACCTCATTAATGAGGTAAAATAAAAAATTTTAAAAAACTTAAAATTAAATATTAAAAATTTATAATGATTAATTAAATAAAAAATAAAATATTTCACTTTTCAATCTCTTTCAATAGTTCTTTTTCCTGTTCTTTTCTTTTCTATTTCTCTCTAACTCCATCATCTTCTTTTTCTTTTTTTCATCCATTAAAATTAACTTTTTCAAAATTTTATAACTTCAAGAACAATTTTTAAATTCTTTTTTTATTTTTTAGAGATTGAGAAACTAAGATTCAAATAAATAAATCTTATTAGTGCATTAAATATTAACCCTACAATATATTCTAAAAAGAGAAGCATTAAATTCATATTTGAAAGTTTATTCTTTCTTTCTTCTAGGCATATGCATTTATTGTATATTTTTCTTTTACCTTGGGTTACATACAGTGATATGTACCTAATAATAACAACAATTATGAAGAAGATCATTTTTATCAAAACAATTTTATAATTGAACAAATAATTCAAATTAATTTATTTTGCTTAACTTATATTAATAAGTGTGATAATCAAAATTTATGGATTATGATGATCAATCCTTATTTAAATTAATTTTTTTGAAAAGTTATTTAAACCTATATTTAATAATTATGTTTACAAATTTAATAAATTTTAGATTAAAAATGTGTTATTTATGTAAATATTGATAAATGACCCATTAAAATTTAATAAACAAATGATGAGATTCATAAATAACTTAAAAATCAATTAAAATAAATGTAAGTAAACAATATAATGAAAAGCATGAATTCTTATATAAATCGTTCCATCAATCAATTGTTGCTCACTACCAATGAGGCATTCTCTAAATGAAGGAAGAATGCCCTAAAACCTTTAGATTTCAAGTGCAAGTCTCACTATGTTTAATTTTAACTTGAAGGGCCTCACTATGTGCAATTTTGATAAAATGTATGTTCGATCTTGTCTTGTTATATACATGCTATTTTTTTTGGTTTATTAATTTTTTTAGTTTACACCTTTCAAAAAAATTACTTTTGGTTTACTTTATTTAATTTTTTATATCAAATGTAATAGTTATGTCATACATGTTCAAGATTATTTGATTGTAATTCTGATGTTTGCTTGCATATGCAACTTCTTAATATATATACATATATATATATAATACTTCTTTGATTAACTACATAATCAAAATTTAATTATTTATCAAGACAAAAAATTCATTAATTAATGAAATATATGTTTTAAGATCTAATTTTCTAATCACTTATTAGGTAGCATTAATTCGTCAGTACATCCTAAAAAGATAACAAGTAACTAAGAAAATGAATTTCCTTAAATTTTCATTGATTTTTCAATCATAGTTAATTGTAAACGATAGAACATTATTTTACGTGTAATAACCATACAAAAATAGATGGTATTGGAGTAACTTGTATCTCTTTATTCTTTTCCTTTTAATTATAGTGGATATAATATTACTGAATTGAATGCAACAGATTTTATAAATGTAACTAATTATGTACCGAAAAGATTTCTTGTAAATGTGATTTTTATGTGAGTTCACATTACGACTTATTAGATTCATTTTATAAAATTAGATGTGGGGAAAAAGACATGTGATCTTATTACAATGCGTAGCAAAAGTTAAAATTTTTTCTAAAATAAATTCATATTTTGGTTATTTAGCATAGATAAATTTAAAGATAAAATACATCGACACATTCAACTTTTGACAATATTTACATGTGGGTCTATTAGTATTCAAAATAAATAATCCGTCCCAAACATCTAAACGATATTAATGCTTAAATGCGAAATGTCTAAATTTTTTTTTCCTTTTCCACTCTTTTCCTTTCGAGTTCTTTTTTTAAATGGGCTCTATGTATAAGGCGTTTTTGAGAATAGGTCTACCCATAATTTTAACTGTTTCTAATCAAGAGAAACAAAATTTGGACAAAATTGTCCTTAATGAAACCAAGCCATTCGTTGGCTTTGTGCCTCAACCTGAAACCTATTAACATGTCAAGTATACTTATATGGTCCATAACTCCTCAGTTCTCATCGACAGACCGTACATCTCTTTAGAAGCAATTCTGTCGAGTGCATTCCTCTCTAGTTCAACTTTTGAGCATTTTCGCAGTGGTAGGAGCATTTTGGAGTGGTTATTATTCGCATAAAGGTAGTTCACATTTTGAACCATGTGGAGAAATGGTTATTCTGTGCCAGTCTCATGTACAACCTAATGCTGCGCAGAATCAATTAACCCGACGCCATCAAGGGTGAGTTATGGTTTGCCATAAGCAGAACAAAGGCCCAGTTTTCGAAGAATGAGTTCTGCTTGGTGATAGGATTGAAGTTTGATGCCCTACCAGCCTTTATTGTCAATCCCTGTGAGGTCGTCCCTGAAAGAATTCACTTGTGATATTAGGGATAGGGGAATGAAGTAAAAATATAACAAGTTTTTGAGACGTTTAAGGGAAGGTAGTTCTAGTAGGAGGGAGATGCGACCAAGATGGCCCTCATCTTAATCACAAGCAATCTTTTATTCGGTCAAGCCTACAGGTGATCAGTGATTCCATGGTTGTTGCCACTGGTTGAGAACATCGATGATTGGAATGTGTTCCCATGGGGCAGATACATTTGGAGTCTAACCGTTGATTACTTGATGAGAGGTTTCGAACCTCCACTAGTGGGAGTAGCAGAGAAGAAACGTTACCACCTCTACAGATTTATATGGTCATTTCAAGTAGTGTGCCATACCCTAATGTTTATCATTATTCTTTTTGTATAAGATTTTATGAGGTGAATTCTATTCACATAAGATTTTATGAGGTGAATAAAAAATGTTTCACAATTGATGTGCAGTTTTGGGCATTGGAAATAATTCCTATAATCCGAAGCTTGTTTGGAAGGCAATACCAGTCTAGACAAGTTTGCCCAAGAATGTTGAAAGAGGCATGTGACTATAGGTTTGTAGGCTTCCATGCTAATATTGCAAGTTTGCAGAGAGAAGGCAAGGTGAGTAAAGAAAGCATATTTTTTTATTTTATTAAACTTCCTCTCACTATTTAATATGTGAACTACCTTTATGTGAATAATAACCACTCCAAAATGCTCCTAGCTTTACGAATATGCTCAAAAGTTGAACTGGGACAAAATGCTTTCTACAGAATTACTTTTGAGGAGATGTACAGTCTGTCGATGAGAACTGAGGAGTTATGGACCATATAAGCATAGTTGACCTATTAATAGGTTTCGGGTAGAGGCGCGAAGCTAAACTAATGGGTCAATT